CTATCTTCGGCCAGTCTCAAAAGTTTATAAGCACCCACGGCTAGACGGCGGACGCCCGAGTTTCCCAGAGGGTCCCACGGGGGCGGTGGGGGATCCCGGGGAACTACACTTCCCAGCAGGCCCAGCGCCGAGCTTGGCGCGAAGGAAGCTGACAGACGCCGCAGGGGCCGCGCTACGACCGCTGGAAGTTGTAGTCGGAACAGGAGGGGCGCGGAAGCCGCGACGCCACGGCTTCCCTCGAGAGCGGCCCCTAGGCGGCGGCAAAACGCTAAGGCTGAGAAGATGCAGATCAACCCAGGTCAAGGCCTGGGAGCCAGAGGGGCCTCGGCAGTCTCCACGGGCAGTGAGACCTATTCTGGATCCCAGAGAAGGTGGCTGAAGCCAGGTCCAGGGGCGAAGGCGTCCAGCTTTGACCTCCACGCCCAACACCGGGGTCGGAAGAGGTGGGAATCTGCATGAGTGGCCCCTTCCCAGAGTCCACGTGAGCCTGGAGCGGTCTCCACTCCATTGTTTTATTATGTACAAACGCTACAGAACATGGGGAGCAGACACGCGTAGGGCAAGAGGGGACCAGTGGCAGAAGTTCATAGGGCAGACGGTGCACTGGGACCAAGAGAGCAGTACACAGGCCATATCTATAGGGCAGGCGGGGCAGGAAGGGGTTAAAAATGAGATCCAAGCCAGCCAGATCGCAGGGAGTTGTGGGGGTGTCGTCCGCCTTCTGATCTCCCCCCAAGGTCACAGTGCATGCAATAAAATATATGTACAGGAGCTGGATCCTTCCTCTGCAGGGGCCCTGAGGGTCCAGAGCTCCCTTTGGCGGAGGAAAGCCAGTGGCGCCCCCTGGCGGCCAGGCCGGGCTGGAGCCACATGTGTCAGGAGCAGGGGTCAGTCCCAGCCGTTGTCTTTGATCATGTGGTTGAGTTCAATGATGTACTTCCCCTCTTTGTACTTCTGGCTGCTCTCGAAGGCCTGTTCCTGAGAGGAGGGGAAAGGCCATCATTTGCAGGCAAGGGCCTTATCAAAAGACATAGAAGAGTAGGTTGGGGAGTGGAAATGATTGGCCCCATTTTATAAATGAAGAAACTGTCACCCAGAGAACCAAGCCACCTGCCCACAGGCGAAGAGTGGAAGCAGCAAGGCCGGGCTTCTCACCAACAGGGGACAGACAGAACTCTGAATCACAGGTACTATTTAAGTACTAAAGTTGGCTCCAACAGAGCAGATATTTCTAAAAGATTCAGGATTACAATCTGGTAGCCCAAGGGCCACATGCATTCTGTTTGGCCAGCAGAGAGTTTAATAACCAGAACTTTAAGATACTACACAATACAGGCAGGTCACGCTCACTCCAGTTTGCCACAGACTGGCTCCCTCCACAGATCCATGCTGCTCCTTTGCAGATCCACAGTATCTGCTGGCACTTGAGTTTTTGACCTCTGGCTTTACAGAGGTTCAGAGAGGCCAAACCACCTGTCCAGGGACACAAAGCAAATCTGTGGCAGGGCCAGGGGTGAATGGAGATCAGGGCTGCCTGTCTGTCTCTGCCTGAGGCACCACAGCTGCAAGCAATGCCTGAGGAATCCTGTCCTTTACAGTTTTCCAAGAGCATCTCCCTTTGCTGCATCTAATCTGATCCCCTAACAATCTCGCGTGTCAGGTGGTGGCTTTAGCCTCCACTGCCAGATAAGAAAATGAGACTCAGGGTTGTGAAACCAGACCCTGAACAGCAACAGGGGCAATGAGGGCAATGGTTTAGGAGGCCCAAGGATACCAACTCTGTGCTGCTGTGGGGTCTTGGGCAACTTCTCTGACCTCTGAATGATAATATCTGGGGTTGAGAAAAAAGAAAACAAACTAGGATTCTAGTTCTTATTCTTTACTTGCCAGTTGTGTGACCTTAGGCAAGTTACCTAACACCCTGGGCCTTCCTTTCTTCCTCTGTAATGTGGAGATAATAATAGACTCTACCTATGGGATTGCTGTAATGATTGAATGAGATAATATATGCACACACCAGTGCATGGCACGTCAGCGTTTAATAAATGGCAACTGGTGATCTCTTTATTGCTAAAATGGGAATGCCTGTGCCCAAGAGGGGAAGAAGGGGCTAAGAGAAAAATTCTAACAGCCCTTGCAGGATATGAAAAGAGAACACGGTCAGGGGTAAAGAGACAGTTTGACTTGTGCAAGCGGGGCCTAAACACCCTGAAAGATTACCAGATGACTGCTTGTGAGGAGGTGATGTCAAGGAGGTCAGGTCAAAGGCTAGCCTGGGGTCAGAAGTCACCGACTCACATATTTCCAGCCCAATGTGGTCTTGCAGTTCTCGCAATGGATGTCAGCGACAGCATGGAGGCCTGTCAGCAGTACCCTCTCCTCGGCTGGCCCGCAGCCCACGTTCACCCTGCAGGGACATGGGGGCATCTCAGGGAGGGTCCTGCCATCACAAAACTCCCTCTCTAATTTGTATTTAACTGTGTTTGTCCACAGCACCCAAAAGGAGGAGGACCACAGCTTCCTGCCAGAACCAGGGGGACTTGAAATATCAGCATGATGTCATGGGTCCCAAGTTACAGCAGAGGTCAGGGAAAGAAAGAAGGGAGGCAGAATACTCACACAGAGTTGAAGAGGTAGGCACGCCCCTGACTGCCCTGGAAGGACTAAAGGGTGAGAGGGAGAGAGGAGGGGGTCAGGGCTACTGGTGGGGAGCAGCCAGAAAATTCCTCCAGCCTCCCAGTCCAACTGTGACCTGGTTATTACCTTGGAGATGAGGTCGTCGTGGTTGGCCAGGTGAGCACGGCAGTGGGCACAGCTATACCTCCGATGACAGTCATCCAAGTAGGCCTGAAATGTCTTGGGCTTTGAAATCCGCACCATGGCGGGGGCCGGGGGCAGTGGCCCCACGCGGGGAGCGGCCCACGGGGAGCAGAGGGAGCCCAGTGCCTGCCAGGAAGGGAGGGGGGGCTGTTAGGACCGGGGCCACACACATGCAGGCACGCCCAGGGCCACGGGGACTCTCTCTGTCACACTTGGCTGCTGTCTTTGCTCCCCAGAGCCAGCAGCCTCTCCAGGGGCCAGGGCTGTCTCAGTTTTGACTCACTGAGGAGGCCTCAAGTTGCATCAACGGGGAAACTGAGGCTAGGAGGAGCCCAAGGTGATTCACCCACCTGCTTTGGGCCTCACCCCTGCTGACATGGCAACTGAAGCTGGATGAAGGGGCTCTAGAGTGGAAGAACTGTCAGTTCTCAGTTTAGGGAGGACCATAGAGCGGTTAGGAACTGGATGGTCCTTAGGATCTCATCTGAGGCGGTGGGGTGGCTTCACCTGAGGTACAGGGAGATAACCTGGGGAGGGGGTCCCTCACCTGCAGAAGGCAGGAGGCCTCACTGAAGGTGTAGAGTCACCTAGGAGGGGAGGGGCTCTTACCTGGGAGCGCTGAGGCCTTGTCTATGCCGAGGGGGTCTTACCTGCATCGCAGAGTCTTACCTGAGACCCCGGGGCTCACCTGGGGCTCGGGGTGGGGGGCGGGCGCCGGGGGAAGGGGGCAGTCCTCGCTGGCGGGGCGGGGGCGCGAGGCGGCACGCAGCCCTGACGATGCGGGCCTCACCTCGCCTGGGCGCGCGGGGGCCCGGTCCGCCGGGGTGGCCTGGCCTGGGAGTGGGGGGCGCTCCTGGTGGGCGCCGTCCCCCCCGGCGCGGGTTCGCAGCCGCCGCGACTTGTTTACACCGAGACCAGCTGCTGCCGCCGCTGCGGCGGGAGGGGGAGGGGGCGGCCGCGGGTCTCGGCGGCCGCCGTGGCCAATCGGCGCGCAGCATGCAAATGAGGGGGCGCGTCACTCCGGGCCAGCGCCGGCCGGGGCCGCCCTTCCCCCTGCTCGCCGCTCCGGCCGGCCCGGAAATGCGGCTGCGGCCGGCGGCCCTGCCCGCCCCGCGCGCGCCCGCGCCCCGGAGCCGCCGTGGCCCCCCGCGGCCCTTGACGGGGCGAGGAGCTGAGGTATCGGACCTGGCATGGGGTTAGGAGGGGGACGGCGTCTGGACCCACTCGCACGAAAAGTGATAGTCACAGTTGTCTGCGTTTAACCACTGCCACGGCGCCGCTCGGTGCCGCAGCGACCCTGCGCGGCTGCTTCTATTGTTCCCACTTGCCCCGGGAGCTCAGGTCTAAAGATCGGCAGCTCTCCCGGTTATCTAGCTGGTAAGAGGCAAAGCTGGGATTCTCACTGGGATGAGCTGCCACGCCTTTCCCTGGCAAATGCGAGCGCTAAAGACATCCATCCGGGTTAGACCCCTGGGAGTCAGAACTTAGAAAAAAGGCAGTTGCTGCTGCTGAGCCTCACCCCCCTTTGGCGCCCCTTTCCGGCCACCCTGGGCTAGATGTCTCCCGTGGGCTTCCCCCTTTACCTTTCTCACCTCTCAACTCCATTGAAAATGTTTGCACATGGGTCTGCCACACCACACAGGTCTTATTCCCTGCTGTGGGCCCAGTACCCAGTCTGGTCTAGTCAATAAATATTTGCGAAATAGGACAAGGTACTGGACTGGACAGGTTTGAAGAACTTAGGGAGCTTTTGGAGTAGGGGACCTAGGAGTAGGTTGGAATGGCTGACAGCAGATGGGCTCGGTGAATTCAGCCGCCTCAGCCATGCCCACCCTCTGCAGCCAGGTGAGGAGGCCCACAGAGGCAAGTCTCTTGCTGTGTTCCCGGAACGCTTAGTGGCCTCTGGAGAATAGAACCATTATCTGTAGCTCTGAAGGGGGCAGGGTCCCTTGTTCCTGGGAGGGACATTCCTGAGAGTGGAGGCCAGGCTGGCACAGGGTGTGGCATTACTTGGGTCTGGAATGTGGTAGAACCAGTGGGTCAGGCTGGTTAGGGCTCCAAGACTCTGGTCCTAATATGCCATCTTTGCTGTTTTCTAGGATCTGCCCCCCACCCCATCCCTGCACCTCTGCCTGCAGCACAAAGACATGATTGAAAAGAAAGCACAAAGACATGATTGAAAAGAAAGCATTTATTAGGGAAGAGAAACAGAAAAAAGTGAGGGTCCCTGGCTTAGAAGGCAGGGGCAGCTGTTCTTTGGTTGTCCAGGTAGTGCCTCAGGGCTGTGGGGTAATCAGTCATCACCCCAGAGGCCCCCAGGTTGAAGGCCACTTCAAAATCCGACTCATCATTAAGGCACCAAAATATCACCTGAGAGAGTAAAGGCCAGAATTGTAGTCTCCAAATAAGGTTACCTGGGACTCCCCAGATGGTGGGGGCGCTTCTCCTCTGTGGAACCCTCCAGCAGTGGTATGCTGGAGTGGATTGTTAATTTTTTAGGGATTTTGAAAACTGGTTATTAAGCACAGCCATAATTACATATTAAATTATATAAACTTACGTTTAAATTATATCAGCTTATGTAATAAGTTATATATAATCTATAATGGGTTATTATATAGCCCATCTCTTCCCTATTCTGCATGCAGTGACTTCATGTTGGTTTGAAATTGGTTATGGTGAGTATATACCAGTATATACAGGGGAAATTATCTAATGCTTAAATGGAGGCTTCCCCACACCCCACCCAGAGAGACATTGTGGAAGGTTTACCAGCAAGCCAATGCCTCCCAGCCTGCCCCCATCTGCTGCTGCCTCCTGAGTCCTCCCCTGTGGGCAATGAAGTAGGGGGGAGATGGTATTTGCAGCTTGGACCAGTCACTTGGTCCAATTTGACCCGTGAGAGTGAAGGTCCGGCCTCCCAGAGCTGTGGAGAAGCCCCTCTGAGTGGGAGGACCAATCTGAAAGAGCTACATCATCCCCTTGCCTCACTCACTCCCACAGCCAATCAGTGGCTGAGTCCCCGCCTGCCTGTGAGTTAACTCTTCCATCCATCCTCACTGCTGCCACCAAGCCCGTCCTGGCATCGTGAGCCTCCTACTGAGACTCTGCTTCCCCACTGGCCCCCACCATTGTTTCACATGCTGGTCCAGGTGATCCTCCCTTAAACCTCCACATCAGGGCTCTCAGGCCCCTCAAAAGCTTCTCTTCTTGTTGAGCTGAAGTCCAGGCTGGCTCCTCTCTGAGCTTTGCAGTCTGCCTCAGCCTCTGCTGCCTTCTCCAGTCCCTTTGGGCAGCTTCCTCCACACTGCAGCCCACTGGGCTGCTCTGGGTTCCTCTGATGGCCTTCCCACGTGCTGAGCCTCCTGCCTGAGACCCTCTCCATTTCCCCTCCTGAAGCCAGCTCCCCACTTCTCCCAGGGGCTTTCTCTTACCCCCACCCCCACCCCCAGACCACAATGCTTTGTTTGCTTTTTGTCCATGTGCAATGGCCTGCTTCAATTCCTTCCTCTGCCTCTGATGCTAAGCTCCCAGCCCAGGTACTTCTCAATAAAGGTTTGCTAATTAAATGACACAGTCAAAGTGATGCTCAGGGAAGGCACGAGGGATGGGCTGCGCCAGGTTTCATCCTTGTTTCTTAACTTTCCTTTCCCCAGCTCCCCTCATCAGGATCAGGATCATAAATACATCATTATAATCATAAAGGCTAGCATTTATCAAGCCCTTACTAACTACCAGTTATACATCCAGAAGAGTTAAATATACCATTATCCCCATTTTACAGATGAAGAAGTCAAGACTCAGAAGAGACCTGCCCAAGGGGCCCAGCTTCAGTAGCAGAACAGTGGTTGGAATATGCTAGGCCTACGCTGTGACCCATCCACTTGCTGAGGGATTGGTGGTCAAGTCTCACCTGTACCCCTCGCTGCTTCAGGTGTTGGATCAGACTTTTCCTCATCATGAGCCTGGGGCAAGGTAGGGAATGACAAAAACCATGATGAGTGGGAACAGAGGAGAAAGGCAGTGACAGGTCTCTGTTGGACACCCCCCATCTCCCCCTCCCAGCCTTTTTGCCCACCTTACCGTTTGCAAACCACAGCAGCCAGCTGGTTCAGCCCAGGGAAGGAGAATGGAAAGTAAGTCCTGCAGAGAGGTGATATGGTGGTCAGCCCCTTGGGTCTGTCTCTATCACAGGGGTGAGGTGCTAGTGAACCCTCCTGCCAGCCAGTATAACCACACTCCCTTTAGAAGAACCTTTGCAGCTGACCAAAGGAGCCATCACCCATTGTTCAGTGAGATCTACTCCCACATCTCTGGCTCCATGCTTTGAGGTTGTGCCTCTCCCCTCACCATTTTACAGAAGAAACAGTCTTGGAAAAAGGAAGTGACTGGCCTGAGGTAGATCACCTAGCAAACCCATAGTGAGTCCAGGACCAGAATCCAGCTTGATTCCCAAGCTGGACACACAATCTGGAGGCCCTCCTGGTTGGGCCTGACCATTTTCTTGAGACCAGACACAGCTGAGTCATAGTTAGTTGTCCCTAATTGTCCTACTCCAGAATTACATTAGAGGCCCTGTACAATGTCCTAGGGCAAGTTTTGGGAGCAAACTTGGGCCCTGTATATCCAGCTCTGTGACCCTGGACAAATTATAGAACCTCTAATTCTTTGGGTACTAGGGAGTCATGATTCCTATACCTCCTGGGGGTGTTAGAAGGTAAAACTCAACCTGAAGGCTGCAGAAACACTTTGCAAACCCTGTATAAACCCGATGTACACAAAGTTCTGTGCTATAATGATCTCTTTGTAGGAAGGGATTGTGGGGGCTGGCTGGGAGCTTCCCTCAGGACAATAGAGAGGAACAAAAAGCACTGGGTGGGCAGAGATTCTCAGAAAGCAAAGGGAGAAATCAGGCCTGAGAGCTGACAAAGTATCCAAATTCCTAACACTTCACCCAGCTGTTACTTTGTTAATCCATGTCTCCCAGCAGGAAAATACTTGCCTTTCTTTTTGAGACTATGAGTGAAGCTATATATTTAATTAATATGTCTCCCCAGCCAGACTGTAAGCTTGGGGGAGGGTCTCATACCCACCCACACTGGCTTTATTCAGTAGTGTAACTGCACTTGGACCAGAGGAGGCATTCAATAAGTATTTGTTGGATAAGTGGATAAATAAGTAAACCCTTAAAACTCTACAGCGACACACATTTGCATATAATTTCAGGGACTTGCTGGTCCCCTAGGAGTCATGAATGCTTGATGAGAACCAGTTTTCCAAGGACCCCAGGGAGTTGGGGAGACTGGGTCTCATGCTCCACAGGGGACCCTGCCCAATGGGGTTTGAGGTGTGTGTGGGAGTGTTTTTCTCAGGACAGAAAGTAGCTGAGGGCCTAAGGGTACCCTTAGGGTACCCTCCCTGCCCTGGCATGGGTACCTGTTGATGATGGTGGGCAGGAAGCAGAGGAGGAACTTCTCGGGGATGGGGATGAAGGGTAGCAGCCCCAGGTAATAGAGCAGCAGCATCTGGATTCCTCGGTTTATTGTGAAGGAGGACGGCATCTCGGGGTTCTGGGGAGCGGCAAGGGAATGTGAGAATGGGGATCAGTCTGCTCCTGGGGAAGCAGAGAGGCGGCCTGGGCTGCAGGGGAAAGTTTTGGATATTCAGGAAGCCCCACTACCTGCAGGATCAAAGCCACACCTTGGCCTAACTTGTACCCTCCTCCTTCCCACTCTCACATCTCTGCTCACACGCTTTCCCCACCACCCCTCTTCTCCAGATCCTACTCCAGGGAGTCCCTGCTCAGGGCCAGGTCCTCCAAAACCCTCCCAAGCCCCTCCAGCCTAGCCCCCTCAGGTTGGGCTCCAGCTCCTGGAAGGAGGGGAGCAGGCAGGCAAAGGGACTCACAGCGGCCTTGCACTTCTGCATGATGGAGCTTTTCTCTGAGGCCCAGATGGTGATTTCATTGCGATTGAAGTACCTCACCAGGGCTGCTATCTGGGAGGGAAGGAGGGGGTGAAGGGGAGGGTCAGGCCTCCCCCCAGCCCCAGCCTAACCCCCTCTGCAGTACCACCTTGTGAATGAGCTCTTCATTGTCCCCTTTGACCTCCAAGGCCATGGGCAGCCGAGGAAACCTCTGGAACACCTCCTCCAAGCTCACCATGCGCCGGTCGGACCCACGTGCGAAGCGGCCTGGGGCACGTTGTGGGAAGAGGGATCACAGAAGGATTTTCGGGGTTGGAGACTTGGGGAGAGGTCAAGTCTCAGAAAAGAGAGGGCAGGGGCCTCCCTGGTGGCGCAGGGGTTAAAGTGTCAGCTGATAAGCTATCGCCAGCCACTGCCACATGAGTTCCATCCCCTGCCAGGGAGATACCCACATGGCAGGGCAGACCTCTCCTGTCTCGCCCACTGCTCCCCTCAGCAGTGTATTTCAGTAGAGCTGCCTGTTCTGCTCCCTACTCTGTCTCTGGTGAATCCTCTAACCCCCCAACTGGGCACCTCTGGCCTACACCCCACTTCCTGTATGCATAATAAAAAAAAAAAATGTTTAGCCAAAAAAATGAGAAGGCAAGAGGCTGAGGCTATGACCCAACCCAGGCTGGCATGGGAGGGGATTACAGCTGTCTGCTACTCACAGGTCATGATCTCACCTGGCGAGAAATAAACCTCCAGCTCCTCCTTGTAGAGAGGCAGCTCCTGGGGAGAGCAGGGAGCAAGTCACCAGGATGCAGTAAAGGTGTGTGACTTGGGGGAACAGGGGCTGGGACAAGGCCCACCTCAAAGTTCAGGCTGCCCACATCCCTATGCAGGCCCGACTGGCGGGACAGGTTCTCATCGTGTGACACCACCACCACGCCGTCCCTGGTCAGCTGACAGTCGAGCTCCAGGAGGTCTGCCCCCTGGACCATGGAGCTACAGGGGCAGAGGTCAGTGGGGAGCAGGGGACCGACCAGGTCATAGGATGGTAGGGTAGGTTTAGTGGAGGGGTGGAGAGGTAGGAAGTGAGGCTGTGCACTGCACATCTCTAGGGGGCTCAGTCCCCAGACACAGAAGGGATTACCCCCCTTGGCATCAGGCAGCACAGCTGGCACCATGTTCCCTGGCAACTCGCTGGGCAGGTGCACTCACTTCTCCATGGCCTCCATGGTGCTCTCCAGTCGCTCTCCGGATCCTGTGTAGGGCAGCTAGGGTGCGTCCCTCGGTCCTGGCCTCCCTCCTTCCCCTCCCACCCCCACCTCATCCCCAGTCAGTCTGGGGTAAACTGGCCTCTTCCCCATCCCACATCCTGCTTGGCCACCTCGCCCTCCTCTGGACCTTGGTCTCCGCCCCCTTTCTAACACCCCACCCCTTGAACCTACCCCTCTATTGTCCATGCTGGCACCTGTATTGCTATCCTTACTCCACCCTCAATAGCTGCCACCTGCCCCCCTCCTACCCAGCCCAGCTCACCTCCCCGGTGGGCCCCCAGGCGGGGATGGAAGACTGAAACCCAAGGTGTGTGCAGCAGGCGAGGCCGGCGCAGGAAGAAGATGGAGAGCATGGCATAGCTGCCTAGGGCAGGCAGGGCATAGTACAGCAGAGGGCTCATGGCCAAGCTGCCTTGCTGGGCTCCGGCGGCAGTGAGCTCAGCCATCCTGGACGGACTGTGCTGCTCTGCTGACTGCCGGCCTATGTAGGCTGGCTCCACCACTGGCCGCCACCACACCCCTGGGACCTGCTAAGCCTGCTGCTGGCACGGGGCCAGGCTGCAGTGCTCAGCTGGAGATGGAGTGGAGGCAGGAGTACAGGGGCCAGGCAACTCTTGCCCTCACATCCCAGAACTCCTCACAGATCCAGCAGCCCTCTCTTGGGCCACAAGGGGAGACAGGTTCCCCAGCAGTGGGGCACTGCACCTTTCTCCCTTCCCATGGGTGTCTTTGGCCAGGTATACAACACACTTGCTGTTTCCAGAGGATCTGGGATTATGTAGGGTACTATGGGTATTATGAGTCATCCTCGAATCACCCCAGCCATTTGGACAGAGTCACCAGAGCCTGGAGAGGACAGCGACCAAGGGGAAACCTGACCCCATTCTTCCCAGGAGTCCGGGAAGTCTCTTACACTCCATTGTCAACCCGGGTTGGAACCTTGGAATCGAAGGTTACCAGGACTGGGTAAAGCCGCAACTGGGCAGCAGCTGGGCTGGAGAAGTCATCAGAGTGGCAATGACTAGGGTCAGGGTGTCGGCGAACAGACAGAGCCAAGGCCGTCCATATACACATCTATATTTATATATTAGATACAGGCACAGGGGTGGGTAGGGGCACTAGGGTCTCCATGTGCCCCCACCTCCACTTCTGTTCACACACACACAGAAGCAGCAGGGGGCGTTAAATGTGGCAGCTTTGGGGGGAAAGGGGTTTAGGCTGGGGCCCTGCTCCTCAGGGATACTAGCCCTTGAGACTTAGGATTGTTCCTTCAGGGGAAATGGGATGGGGCTTTAATGAGGTGAGTGGGGCAGGGCTTGCCCTGAGTCCTACTCAGTGTCCCCTGTCCTCCACCCCAACCCCTCGGTATGTCCTGGGGTAGCCAGAGCCTGTCCATTCCAGAACTACCAGAGACTGGGACAGCTGGGGTAGACAAAGGCAGAGCAGCAGAATGAAATTTGCTTTGGGGCCACCTGAGCCCCTCTCAGGTCCTGGTGGGGATGAGGGGAGCATTGGGGGGGATCCACGGCCTGCCTGAAGCAGGCAGCCGGGGCAAAGCAAAGGAAGGTGGCCAGGCCAGCCCTCTGCCTCAACCTGGGCTGCCGGGGTCCGGGCTGGGCACAGTTTCCATTTTCTTAACAGTCCAGCAGGAAAGGGGCAGGCAGGAGGTAGGGCCTAAACAAAAAAGGCAGGCGGGAAAGGAACGATTAGCACTCATGAGAAGACCTGCTAGGGCCCTGGCCTCTACTTCTCTCATTTCATTCCCCACAGGTGAGTGGAATATGGCTCAGTTTCCTTATCAATGAGGCTAATATTAATACCTCTCTCAGGGTACTGTGATAAGGATCAAATGAAATAACCCACAGCAACCTTTCAGAACAGTGCTTCTTGCTCTCTGTTTGCTCTCATTATTAGAATTGTTTCCAGGAAACTGAGGCACAGAGATAAGGGCGCGGTATCATGCAGCTCCTGTTGTCAGAGCTGGGGAGTGAGCCCAGGTATGTCAGCCTTCCGTTTATTAGACCACAACTGCCAGCGACAGGAGACTGGAGGAGGAAAGGTGAGCTGTGTGGGGGGTTAGGTCCAGCAAGGTCCCCCACAGGTGTGTGAACTGCTGTCCTGGGCACTAGGTGTGACAAAATTTGGCTTCTGAAACAGGCTGGGTACTACTATTCCTTCTGAAACAATTACTGCCCCACCTGCCTCTCTGCTTATATTGTTGTGAGTCAAAAACTGAGAGGGGCCCCCAGCGACCTCTGAGGGCCGGGAATGGCTACAGGGCTGGAAGATGCAGTAGGCTGACAGGTGGGAGACTGGGGTTGGGGGAAACAATGAGGGACATGAAGAACTAGTGGACCAGGTTTGTGGCCTGGCAGGCTCTGGCCCTTTTGTTGCCACCATACACAGGCATCATGGATGCACGACTGTATGAGATCCTGCTGGATATCCTGAGTGGTGGGGAGCACTCACCAGGCCCCAGGGAACAGAGGCATCCGCCCAGATCAGGGGGCCTCCAGTGCCCCAGGCTGGAAGGGGGCTGTTTCCTGGAAGATGAGCTCCTTCAGCTTCTCCTTGGGTTGATCATCCAGCTCCATGTCAAAGGTGAAGGGTTCCTCCGCCACCGGCTGAGATGGCAAAGAAGCAGGCTCAGGATAGGTACTGAGGGATGCCTACCCATCCAAGTACTCATTCCCTCGCCCAGCTTCTGGTGGCTGGCCCACCTCATCCGTTGGGTCATAGTACTGCTCCAGGTAGGGGTGAGCCAGTGCTTCTTCCACTGTGATCCGTTTGTTGGGGTTAAAGGTTAACATCCGATCCAGCAGGTCAAGGGCTAAGGAAGGGCAGGAGTCAGAGGTCAAAGGGAAGGCTAGAAGAGCTCCCAGAAGCCTGGCTTTGTTTCTCCATGCCTAGGGGCCTGTCTACTCAGGCACCTGCTGAGCCCACATTTCCTCCTCTGCAACCAGTTTTTATCCCACACCAGCCCCCATGTCTCTCACCTTTGGAGTCTGACTTGGGAAAAAGTTTGGCCCAGGCCACCTTAGTCTTGGAGGGCAGAGACTGTAGGTAGTTTCGGGCCTTCATGTTGATGATACAATTCAGGTCCTCCTGGGATGGGGAGCCCAGGATACCTGTGGGTAAGGCAAGTGATTTGGTGAGGGAATCTCCTCTCCCTCTGGGAACTGAAAGAGCCAAGAACAAGAGCCCCACCAACCTGTTCCAGCACCTAACTGTTATCTCCCAGCCAACACAATAGATGCAAAGAGTCTGGATTCAGGCAGCCTTAGGTTCAAATCCTGGCTCTAGCACTTCCTAAGTGTGGGCTGTTCTTTAATTTATTGAATGGGAATAGTACCTATACCTCCCTGAATACTGCTGTAGGGTCTCCACACATGGTGGGACCCTTGTCCTGATTCCCAGAATCTCAGACGCTGACTCTAATCTCACTGCAGATAAGCTAATCTCCCATCCATTTTTCTGGTCAGGCCCCCCTCACCCAGAATGTGGTTGAGCTGGTCCAGGTAGTGCTTGCCAGGGAAGATGGGCCGGTTGGAGAGCATCTCAGCCAGAATGCAGCCCACAGACCAGATGTCGATGGACTTGGTATAGCCCTGAAGAGAAGACAGTCATGGGCTCCTGGGGCAGCCTCGACAGGGCCCTGTTGTCTGGGTTGAGCCACCACCCCCAACCAAGATTCACCACACCAGCCAGGGAGGCAAGGGTGAAGGCCCAGAAAAGCCAGTGCTCAGCTTCTTTCTAGAGCCAGAGTGACAGCCTGGGGGTAGATTTCCTGTCTCATGGGGATCAATGCCTAGCTCAGAGGCAACTCTGGGGTTTTCTGGGATCTGATCCCTTCTCTTCAGGGATAGCCCCCCTACCTTGGAGTTAAGCATGATCTCTGGGGCCCGGTACCAGCGTGTGGCCACATATTCTGTCAGGAAGCCGGTGTGGTCATGCTCAGGATCAGCAATCCGGGCCAGGCCAAAATCACAGATCTGGAATCCAACCCAGGCTGCTAAGTTTGGTGCTCAAGGTCTCCAAGGCCCAAGCAACAATGCCTCTTCCCCTTTGCTTGTGATGCTGTCCTACCCAGGCCCCAAGGGAAAACCAGGCAGGGAGTGAACAAAAAACTAGGAAAGTGATAAAGGAGGATCCAAACCTCTGACCTTAAGGTCGCAGGTGGTGTTGATGAGCAGGTTGGAGGGCTTTAAATCCCGGTGCAGCACGTTGGCCGAGTGAATGTACTTGAGGCCCCGTAAGATCTGGTAGAGGAAGTAGCAGATGTGGTCATTGCTCAGCTGCTGGCTTTTGAGCAACTTGTACAGGTCTGTCTCCATCAGGTCCTGCACAATGTAGCTGAGTATGGCACCGTAGACCCCCCAGGTGGGGGTAGTAGGAGGCACTTGGTTAAGAAGAACACACTGGGGACTAGGCTTCATACACCCTCCAGCTGGCTTCCCTGGGACTCAACAGATCTGCCAATCCATACCATGAGCTGGGCAAGATCTGTAACAGACTTGAGGTTTCTGCTGCATCTCAGCTGGTGACCCTGAGCAAAGCTATGGCCACTCAGTCTCTGCACTGGGAAAGTGGGAGTAATAAACTATCGGAGGCAGAACTTGAACATTAAGAGCAGCAGTTCCGGAGTTAATTTGCTTATATTGGAAATTCCTGCTTCACTACTCATTGGTTTTATGATCTCCACCTGTCTCTGCCTCTATTTCTCATCTGTAAAGTTGAGGAAAGAATTGTTCTTTAGAAAGTGGTTGTGAAGATTAGAAGTGGTGATCCATGTAAAGCAGCCAGCCCCGTGCCTGGCATGTCATGAGGGTCAGCAACCATGAACTACTACTGCTATTATAAATGCCTGAGCCACATGACTGCTGAGAGGGTTAAATGAAATAATGTATGAACACCATCTGGCATGCAATAAATGTTTGCTTAAAAATAAATGCCTGCCTTATGGGAATGGTTCGTGTAAGACAAATGAGGAAAAACTCCCAACAGCATGCTCCTACTCAAGGAATGCTTGGCTATATCTCAGAAGATTGAGGAATAAATGTCCTTTTATATATTAATATAAAACAAAAATTTATTTACAAAGTAAATAAATAGATGTCAGATGGCTTGACTCTGAAAGACTAAGTCAGGACTGTCTTTTGAAATCAGTCTCAAATGGGCCTTCTGAGAACATCTGGACCAACCCTGCTGCTTTATAGATGAGGCGGCTCAGCAAAATGCAGTGACTTGCTTAAGGTCACACAGCAAGCTGGGAGTGAGCATGAAGGTTTCCTGCCCACAGAGTATGGTGGGGGCTGCAGACACTGCAGGATCTTACGTGGAGGGCTAGGACTGACTAGGGGTGGGTGGGGTGGAGAAGAGGTACTGGGTGTTACGAGCTGCTAACAGAGCCAGGCAGGAAGTGGACAACAAACTAGGAAAGTGATAAGGGGGGAAGGCAACAACGGCAAGGCAGTCGCACCCTGGGCAAGGTGCAAGTCCACAGGTGACAAGGGTGGGGCCCTGAGGGGGATGTCTAGAGAAAGGAGATAGATTTGAATCTTGGGGAGAGGCGCACTCAGCAACAAAAGTACTTGATTTTTAGACTTTCTAGGCTTCAGTTTCCTCATCTTTGAAATGGAACTGATGAGAACAGTTCACAGGGCAGTTGGGAGGTTGAATAAGAAATGTTAAAGCATTTGGCCTGCAATGCACCTGGCTCATGGTAGGCAAAAAGGAGCAGTTTTCTTCCTTTCTGCCTCCCTTTCAGTCTGAGGACCCAGAGAGGAGAAAGAATTATGGTTTGTTAAACAAGAACGGACTGTGGGCTGAGGCTGGTCACGTCACAGAATTGCAGATGTCAGAAGACAAAGCTCCCATAGAGACCAACTTGCCCAACCCCCACCCCACTGAGGTACAGTGTAGAGAACAGACTTGCCCAAGGCCACACTGCCTGGATACAGCAGGCCAGGATTCCTCTGAGGTCTCCCAGTCCTCTTACACTCTGGTCACCTTTCTGTGGGAAAGTTTCTTTTACTGGGTTTGTTATGGAGAAGGGTAAGAAAGAAGGAAAAAGAAAGCAAGCCAACGTCCTCCCAGCCCAGCTCTGAGGCTGTGCCTGGCCAGCCACCTGGCCCAGGTGAAGGATACACATCCCTCATGGCTTCCAGGGTGGGTGCCCGCAAAATGTCTCGGATGCCGATGACGTTCTCATGGCGGAAGCGCAGCAAGATCTGGATCTCCCGCAGAGTGCGCTGGCAGTAGGTCTGATGCTCAAAGGGGCTGATTTTCTTGATGGCCACTCGAGTCTTGCGCACGTGGTCGTAAGCTGAGCTGAGAAGGCCAGAGAGATGATGTTGGTGTGGCCTTACAAAAGGGGAGTCTAGGCCTAGCGGCCCCACCCAAGCCTTGGCAGAGAGGGGAGGGAGCAGGAGAGCACTCTGGCCAAGTCATAAACAATGCTGGTTCCTTCCTGCTGTGAAGGCCTGGGATCTCCAGGGAGAAAGCTGGGGACCAGCCAGGCGGCCCTTCAGTGACTTCACAAACAGAGGAAGAGACTGGCAGCTCACTGACTTCCCCTCTCCTCAACCCTTTCCATTCTATTTACTCTGACCCCTCATCCTCTGCTAACTAGGATGGCTCCCTTAGCCCAAGACAGGTCCAGGGGTGGGAGATAAACGGAGCAGGCACAGTGTAGCAAACACAGGGAGATGGAGGGTGTCAGTGGAGGGACTGGAGACAGGCGGAGGCAGGGGCAGGTGTGAGGGCCAGGTACCTGGGCAGCAGAACCGTTCCCAGAGTAAAGGCCCAGAGCCCACACTGGGGCTGGGAGAAGGCACCGACCCTTCCTGAAAGTTGTAGGGAGGCCCTCCTGGACCCCTCTGGCCCCAGGCCCAAAGTCCTGCCCCACCCTGAGCTCTGCTCTTCTCTCCTAAACTCCCTGGCAGGCCTCCCTGGGGGACCCCAAGTCGTCCTGTCCTCCAAGGAGGGTCCTTCACCCCCTCTTGCCTAAGGATAGTGCCTCCCCAGGAATATTTATTCCCTTTGCCCCACCCCCTGTGTATAAGGTTCCCAAGGTCCCCGCAGCTCCCCCACGTAAGCGCAGATGCCCCTCCCTCCCTCCCTCAGGAACGCTCCGTCGCGAGCCCGCCGGCGAGCCCCTCTCCCGCACAGGGCGCAGCGCCCCCTCCCCCAGGCAGCACCGGGCCCTCTCCCCGGACGTTCCCAGCCTCCCGGAGCCCCGTCTCCTCGGGCCCCGAGGCGCCACGGCCCGGCGAGCGCCCCGCGGCCCAGCCCCCGCGCCCGCGCCCCCTCCCCCGGGACGCCCCCTCCCCGGAACGCCCCCTCACCTGACCATGCCGTACGCGCCCTCGCCGATGTACTGCAGCTGCGTGTAGCGCGGGCCCACGTCGAACGGCTGCCCCTTCACTACCTCCACTTCCCCCGGGACCCCCCGGGCGACCCCATCGGCTCCCCGGGCTCCCCGCCCCCGCCCCCCTGAGCCGCCGCCGCCGCCATCTCCACTCCTCCCCTCCCGCCCGCCCGCCTCCCCCAGCGGCCCCGCCCGAGGCCCCGCCCCTTCCCGCCCGCCCGGTCACCCGCGGAGTCGCGCGCGCCAGGCCCCGCCCCCGCGCCGCCCCCGCGCCCGTCACGTGACGCCCGCGCGCGCCCGCTTTCCCGCCGCCGGAGCCGGGCCTGGCCGCGCCCGCCCCGCGCGGGGCCACCTGCAGGCCCGCGGGGCTGTCGTGACGTGGCCCAGCCCCTCCCAGCGCGGGCCGCCGGTGCACCGGCCGGCGACCTGACCCAGAGCCGCCCGGGGCTCCGGGGTGTGGACCGGGACAGCCGCCCCGGGCAGTAGCAGAACTTGGCGGGAAGCCTCCCCAGCCCCCTGGAGCGGGGCCAGCCCCGCGCTGGTCAGGACCGCGTCCGTGTTTGACGGGGGTCACGGGATGGCTTCCTCGTGCATGTGGCCTGCCCTTCACAGACGTGGGGACTGAAGCAGGAGCAGGGCAGGCGACGAGGAGTCGCTCATCTGAGAGCGGGAGAAGCCAGGGGGCCAGACTCCCAACTTTTGGACAGAATCTTGTGGGTGAGGGCCAGGGCCTGACCTCTGCCATCAGCCGCGCATTGCCCTTACCGTGGACCGATAACCCCCGCCTACCTGTGCTTGGGAAGATAGGGAAAGGCCAGTAAGTTGAATGCAAAGTCGACTGGGTTCAGGCCGCTCAACGGGATAATGTTTTTGTTATGGTTGGATTTTGCAAAACTGGAATCCTGTCAAGATGATCATCTCTTGACTTTGTAGTTTACTCTATAAAGCTAAGGGACCACTTCAGTTTCTTCCTATGACAATCCCACGATCTAGGTATCGTCTGATTTTTTAGCTGAATGGGCAGGGTCTATTTCTGCCTGTTCATTACTGTGGTTCCCTCCTCCCCACTCTGAGACAGGCAAACATTTTTGAGTGAATGAATCAAGTTTTAAAGATGAGGAGTCTTGAGAGTTGGGGAGTCTAACATGGCTAAGGTCACTGTAATGACAGAACTGAGACTCAACCACCTACCTTCTGACACAGAAGCAAGGCTCTTGCTAAAATTTGTCATAATCATAGAGGGTTAAAACTGAGGAAAGGGCCCTCTGAGACCATCCAGCCCATCCCCTGCACTTCACAGTGAAGGTGTGCCCTGGGAGCTTCACAAAAACACACCTCCTAGGCTTCAGTAAGTAATCACGTTGTTTTCTTCTCTCCAAGAAGCTGGGAGTAGGTCCTTATATGCATTACAGATCAAGAGACAAAATGGAATGGTAATTATGATTCAGAAATTGCTCATAATTAGATCTACAGCCAAGCACTCTAATTCAGATTAATGAGACTGTGTTGCTGATTCCCAACAGCCCACAAGTCAGAGAAGGTTCAAGAGGTGCTAATTAGATCAATGGTTATTTTAGTTATTGGATAAGTTACTGAATGGCACTGTGTGCAAAGCTCTGAGCTAGGCACTGTGGTTGACAATCACTATATGGTGTGAAATAGTTGCTAAGAGCCAGAGCTCTCTGGAGCCCAGGTTAGAACCCCATTTTTGCCACTTACTTGCTGTGTTACCCTAGGGAAGTTACCCACTGGCCTCTCTACTTGTGGAATTTCTGATCTGTTGAAGAGAAAAGTGCACATACTTAAGTCAATTTAATATGAGATAGATGGATGTAATAGATGGTGTGTGAGCTCAGTGGTGGGTCTGAGCTCACTCTGGATAAGCGAGGAGGGAATAATGGAGGAGGTGGCTGTATGTCATTGAAAAAGAAGTAGGGTTTTAGAAGCTCGGGGTAGAAGAAAGGCATCAAGAAGAAGGAGCAGCAGGAGCCAAGGCATAGAGGAAGGAGCATGAGTTGTCCAGTGTGGCTGCAGTACACAGGGTCAGGGAGTTCAGGCTGGAGGTTGGTTGGGACCAGATTGAGGAAGGCCTTGGATTCTGGCGTGGAGTTTGGATGCTACTCCCTAAGCAGTAAAAGTCTTTGAGGGACTTTTGCCAGATCATTTTGCAACTGCGGGAGAATGTAGTGACTCAGAGAAAACGCCATAGAGTTCAGCTTGGAGCCAAGTTTCCTGAGTGGGAGTGAGTTTCCTGGCTTACGAAAGGCTGGTGCATCCAGAGGAGTGCCTGCCACCTCAGGCTGTTCCTGAGTCTCATTTAAAGGCATGGGACTGAGATTCCCCTCTAGTGGCTGAGGTTGGTACTTCCTGGAAGATTGGACTGGGATTTCTAGTTTATTTCATGGATTCATTTTCAGCCAACACTGAACCTTTATTCTGCGCCAGACACTTTTATGTACATTACCTCCCAGCACCCCTGCAGCAGTCTTCTGAAGTAGGTACTATGAACATTTCACAGAACAAGTGCTAAAGCTTATTGAACTATGTTTTGGAGCTGGCTCTAGGCGTGATTCTTTCAGGTATTTCACTATCTCCCAGCTTACTGCATTGTTAGAATTTTTCTTATGTCTGCTATTTGGCTTAACTTTGTCTTCTGGATCTCCCCGGACTAAGTCTTAAATCAGTTCTTATCTGTGATGTCAAGGTTATAAGAGGAACTGGTAATTAGCCTAGGGAACACAAATGGGTGATGTTTGAAGAGCACAAATGAACAGGCCAGTTTTGGTGAACTTGATCAACAAGCCAGCACAAACCCGTAAGGCAGTAGATGGGCAGGGATAGGAATCAGAACACTTTTCACCATTTATTAAGATTTAGTTTTTATTTTTATTTTTTTAAAGATTTATTTATTTATGCATACAAGAACCAGGGTACAGGCCAGAAGTGCGGGGGGTGAGAGGACTCACCAGAGACAGAGTGGGGAACAGAACAGGCAGACTGACTGAAATACACCGCTGAGGGGAGCAGCGGGCGAGTCAGGAGAGTTCTGCTGTGCCATGTGGGTATCTCCCTGGCTGGGGAATCAAACTCATGCTGCAGTGGCTGTGGGTAGCTTCATAGGTTGTGTCTTAACCCCTTGCACCACCAGGGAGACCCACTGACCATTCTTAAAAACCAAAAAACCTCTTATAGTTTTCTTGAGACTCTTCCTTCGTGTGTTAGAGAATAGCTGTGCCCAAGTCTCTCTTTTCTGGTACAAATGTTGTTCAGCAGCTGATCCCTTTTCTGAAGTCTCTGTGGTCTGCTCTGCATGCTCCTCCATTCCTGCGACCCCCAACCTCTCTCTTCATCATCCTTCTTTCTCCACAGTATCTCCCTTAGTTACATTATCATGTTACTGTGGTGTCAGTTTTTCTCTTGACATAAATTTCTATCCTTAACTATCACCATTCTCCCTAGTTCCAGTTCCAAAATGTCAGTGTTTGTTGGACAGCTTCCTCTGGCGGCTTGCCCACAGAGAAGGTCCTGCATGTCTAGTGGAACTTGTCATTTTTCCGCCCCACAGCCTTTTCTAGACTCTATTTGCTTTGGTCCAGCACCACTCTTTGAATTGAACCCTGTTATTTTCTCACTTTTCCATTTCCGTCTATATCTACAGAGAGACTGTCATTTTATTTTATTTTATTTTTTAAAGATTTATTTATGCATGCAAGAGCTGGGGGACAGGCCAGAGGTGCGGGGGCGGGGAGTGAGAAGATTCACCAAGGACAGAGTGGGGAACAGAACAGGCAGATTGACCCAAGTACACTGCTGAGGGGAGCAGCAGGTGAGTCAGGAGAGGTCTGCTGCGCCATGTGGGTTGCTCCCTGGCCAGCCAGGGATCGAACTTGTGCTGCAGAGGCTGCAGACAGCTTCATAGGTTGCGTCTTAACCCCTTGAGCCACCAGGGAGGCACCTATCTGTCATTTTATTATCATAGTCTTTCTCCAAGCTGTCCCCTCTGCCATCGATCAAATCCTCATTTCACATTTTTTTAATTTCTTTTAAATAATTTAAGAACTTAGAAAAAGTTGCAAAAATAGTTCAAAGAATTTCTGTGTACCCTTCATCAACACCGCCTATATGTTAACATTTTAAATAAAGAGTATAATTATGAAAATCAAACCATTACCATTAATAGAGTTTATCTGGAGAGTTTTTTTCAGATTTTGCTAATTGTCCCACTAGTCTCCATTTTCTAGTTCAGCATTCAATTGGGACCACATCTTGCATTTATTTGTTATGACTCCTTAATTTCCTTTCATCTGGGAAGTTCCTTAGTCTGGGTCTGGCTAATGTTTCCTTGTGATTCTTTCACTTTGCCTTTAGTGTTGTATTGTACTAGCACTATTGTAATAAACTAGTCTCTTTTCCTTCAACCTTCTTCCTCCTCAGCAGGGATCTTTCAGTACAAGTAGGCAAAGGCCCAGCGCAAACTTTTATTTTATTTTATTTTTTTAATTATAAATTTTATTTTTATAGTCCCCATACAATTGCGACCCCCTTATTTTGACCCCAATCCCTCCCCTCCCCGCCTCCCACCCCCCCTAGAGTGTCTCTGGTTCATAGTTGTTTGTTGATTTTGATTTTTACTTTCTTATAGTTATTCTTTTTCCTGGTCCCTTATTTAAGTTTTCTAGATTCCTGCTAGGAGTGAGACCATCCGGTATTTTTCTTTTTCTTTCTGGCTCATTTCCCTGAGCATGATCCCTTCCAGCGCCATCCATGTTGCTGCAAATGGCATGTGTTTATCTTTTTTGAATGCTGAGTAATATTCCATGGTGTATATGTACCACCTCTTCTTGATCCAGTCATCTATTTTTGGGCATTTGAGTTGTTTCCAAAGCTTAGCTATTGTAAATAGTGCTGCTATAAACATAGGGGTGCAGGTGCTCTTTGGAATTGATGTTTCTGTGTCCTTTGGGTAAATACCTAGGAGTGGAATTGCTGGATCCTATGGAAGCTCTATGTTTAGTAGGCCCAGAAATCTCCACACAGCTCTCCATAGTGGTTGGACCAGTTTGCACTCCCACCAACAGTGCAGGAGAGTTCCTTTTTTAACCTCGCCAACATTTGTTGTTGCTAGTTTTTTTAATATGTGCCATTCTCACTGGTGTAAGATGGTATCTCATGGTAGTTTTGATTTGCTTTTCCCTGATTACAAGTGATGTTGAACATTTTTTCATATGCCTGTTGGCCATTCAGCGCAAACTGTTTTATTTTTTATTATTATTATTATTTATATATATATATATTTTTAAAGATATTTATTTATTTATTTATTTATTTATTTATTTATGCAAGCACTGGATACAGTCAGAAGCGTGGGAGGGTGAGAGAATTCACCAGAGCCAGAGCGGGGAGCAGAGCAGGCAGAGGGACCGAAGTACACTGCTGAGGGGAGCAGCGGGCGGCAGGAGAGGTCTGCGAGCCATGCGGGACTCTCCTCCGGTGGCCGGGGAGCAGCCGGGGAATTGAACCGGCACCACAGAGGCCGCGGGCAGCTTCGCAACCCAGCGCTCAACCGCTGCGCCACCGGGGAGGCCCCAGCGCAAACTGTTTTAAATAAGAAAGGGAAGTTATTGGTTTACTTACTGAAAAGTGTAAAATATTAACAAGGATGTAAAATAATGGTATTTCATTAATAATAAAAAAAACTTACCGGGAAGTTCAGAGATAGATGTTAAGGCACAGTTGACTCACGGAACTCCAACAGTGGCATGAGGACTGGCTCTGTCTCTGTGCTCTTCTTTCTTTTGAATGGGCTCCATTCTCAGGTGGTTCCTTTTGGAGGCAAGATCTCTGCTTCGTGTCTAATTTTTTCTAGTAACTCCACCAGGGGAACAACCCTCTCTCTCATTCTCCTTGCCACCTCCCACCTAAAACCCCAGATTTGATTCACATTGATTATTGGTCCTGTTGGAGCCTGTGCAAATCCCTGAACCAATCAATCAATATGGAATCGAGGGTTTAGTGGTTTCTACTTGCATGATATAAACTGGGCTGGGGGAGAGATGCTTTTCCAAGGAAAGTTGGGTTGCTAACCCTTGAAAATGTAGAGCAGGCAAAACAGCAGTGTCCATCACAGTATTCCTGCTTAGAAATTTTTTTTTTTTTTAATAGAGGCATGTTTTTATTTATTTATTTGTTTGTTTGTTTTGTTTATACATGCACTGGGTACAGTCAGAAGTGCGGGAGGGTGAGAGAATTCACCAGAGCCAGAGCGGGGAGCAGAGCAGGCAGAAGGACCGAAGTACACTGCTGAGGGGAGCAGCGGGCGCCAGGAGAGGTCTGCGCGCCATGTGGGAC